CGGGTTAGATCGGCGGTAATAACAGTAAGCTTAAGACGCTTTATATTGTAAGGTAAGGACCCTACAATAACACTACTAATTTTAAAGGCATCAGTGGGTTTGGAGGACATTTTTCTAACGCGTAATTGACCAAAAATGTTCGAAAAGTAAAAAAAATAAAGCTGGACGATCACAGGGCAGCTTTTGAGACTAGCTAGTCCCAAAAGTCCATGTTTAACGAGGCAGCACTTTGTCAGCCACCAGGTACGCCAGAGGGGGGGCGGTATATATGAAAAGAAAAAAAAGAAGGCTTGGACACTGCTAGCATAATGGACAGGTTTTTGACGGGGCTTCCACACAAACGCAAAGCAGGAGATGAAGCATCGCCAAATGTGTTTCCAAACCAACTTCCTTCCAAGCCAAAGACTAGAAAATATGGTGAAGCATATCTTCCCTTTGGCTTCACCTGCACAAGTGCCAAGGTAGGTCTCCCCTGCAGAATTGGTTTTCCCCTGCATCGGGAGCACGCGCTGGGCTGTCCAAATCACGGACAAACAGTATCCCACATTCTTGATTTTTAGTTCACAAACACTTCTTGTATAACTACTCCTGACATTTTGGAGATGTTAGCTCTTTATACAGTAAAGTTACAGTGGGATACAAATAATATCAGGCTGATCCTGCCACAATTTGTTCCCCCTGTCCAAATCACGGACAAACAGTATCCCACAATTGTTTATGTTTTTGAACCTATTTTGCACAGAGAGGCATTTAAAAAAAATTATTGATAGCAATTTTGAATATTATTACACAGGGGAAAAAAAAACAAACGCGATCATTTTTCTTGTAAAACAAAGGGGGGCCTAGCAAAAAAAAAAAAATAGGTACGCGCTATTAAACGAGGCTATTTTTAATTTGTGCTGACCGGCGGAACCGGAAGAGAAAAACGCAGGGATTAGTGTGTTTACAACTCATAGCATCCTGGGTGCACTCGGCATCAACCTGCCATCAGACACATGCAATTTGCATTTGCAAGCTGGTGTGCTTAGCCTATCGTATAACAGCTTCTCTTTTTGATTTCTTTCCTGGGTTGTTGTTTAGGTGGTGGTGGAGGACTCTTGTTGTTCTGGAACCGTTGCAGCGTCGGGCCACCCACCATCTGTAGAAGTGGGACAAGGGAACAGATGGCGTATCCAAGCCGGGCTGCAGGGTTGCTGACGCTGAGCGTTCGTGCAGAACTGGAGATCAGTATCAATCATTAAAATAAAGCACTGCCGTACCGTATACAGCACAGTGCGTTTTTCAGGGTTACCAATGCCAATGTGGTTGCGATAGAAGCGAGGGTGGGGGGACTGGAAGCATCGTATGTCGACCAAATTGAGGCGCAACGATCGGGCGACGATTTGACCGCTGGCATCAACTTAATCCCTTCTGACGTGTCTCTGTCTCGGTGAACAATGGTTGACAATCGCTACGCCACAGCTCTGGTCATCGCCTGCGTGTTGAGCATCATAGCGACTGTGTATCTGTCGGTGGCAATCGGAACGCAGCACTGGTACCAGTACAGCAGCCCCACGGTGCGCGGAGAGGCCAACATTTCCGAGTTGCGCTCGCTGTACGAGGAGTTCATAGACGGAGAATTCGATGAGAAAACCTACAGCGACACGCTGTTCCGTCTTAACGGGACTGTGGGCCTCTGGTGGCGGTGTGTGCTTGTTCCTGCCAACGCTCACTGGTACAAAGAGCCAGGTATGTATATGTGCTGACGTCAGTAGCACAGTGTCCTTGTAGCTTTA